CCTACCGCGCTTTCTGGGAGTCCAAGACGGACGTGCAAAAGCTTGCTCATGACCTCGCGGCTGAGGAGGAGGGCGACACTTTGCCAAAGAAGTTCGCGGCTTTAACCCCAGAGGAGGGCTTCCGTTATGCCGGCTTCTTCTTAGACCGCGACCCAACCACCTTGAAGCATTGGGGCAACGGCGAACTGGGCGCCGTGTGCATCGGTGATGCTGCGCATGCAATCCAGCCCTGGGCAGGCATGGGTGCGTCTTTGGCAGCCGAAGATGCCTTTGTCCTGGGCAAGATGATCGCGAAACACGGCTGGGACAACCTCCAGAGCGCTTTCGATGAGCTCCAGGCTCTGCAACTCCCGCGCGTGCAGTTCTACAGGCAGATCACCATGAACAATGCACCAAAGGGCATCATCTCTGAGGACCAGATGGTCCCCATCGAGCAGGTGGTTGCGGAGTTTGGTGATCAACGTGGTATTGAGGCGTGCCCTGCATGGAGACAGTTCTGCGAGACATTGCGCCTAAAGTCGGCCTAGGCCTAGACCCGGAGTCTTAGAGTCTTAGAGAGCCTGATAGATGCCGCCGCGTAGGCGGATCAAGCCTTTAGAGGGCGTTGTGTCCTTTTCCAGATCGGGGACGCGAAGGCATTTGCCCTGATCAGCACAACCACTATGCCGGAGGCAGGACTTTGTCAACGTGATATATCTCTAGGATTGCAGTAGTGTTCAGTTTTCATGTTGCTTCCTACAGCACAACCTATGGTCCTACTCGTATTGGTGGCGGTGATCACGTCAGACCTGACTTCACGGTTGCCTCAGCGCATGCTTGGCGTACGGATAAGGATTCCGGGCAAAATTGTCAACCAGACTTAAAGGCAAGGCAGAAAAGATAGCCACTCCTTTGCATGTCTTCATTTTGCGAGGTCAAGCTATGATGCAACAATTTACTTGTTTCAGCTTCAGCAAGCATTCATCCGTCAGGATGTTGAGAAGCGTTTGTTGCCTTCCCTGGTTGGGCGAAACAGCTTGATGCTTGCAGTTCCAGCAGAGCCGTTTGGGCTTCAGCTTGGACTGTGTGCAGTTATTCAGCGTAGCTTGGCCAAATCGGCATCAATACCAAGAGCATTCCATATTGAACATCATAGCAGGCAGAGGGCACCATGCTCTGGCAAGCACAGAGATCGTTGACAACATTGATCTCCGCACCATGGTCTGCAAAAGGCGGGGTGCTGAACTCTGCGCCAGATGTTTGGTGGCCATATTGGCAGCAGCCGGAAGCTCTACGATAAATGGATAACGCCGGACTCTGCCGTTGTCGACAGACGTCTCTCAAATCTTGTGAAATTTGAACCACCCGCATGCCCTGTAACCCTGGATCCCTGCATATCCTGAAGAGCCAGAAGCATTTGACATTTGGGCACTTCCAAAATTTGGACAGGTTGGCAGCATGCGTCGCAGTTCTGAGCATACCGATGGTGGGAGCCGCGGGCTCAGCGTTGCCGCAAGATTGAGTTTGGTATTGCTGCCAACATCGAGAAAAGTTCAATGCACACATGGATGGTATAGCAGTGGCGATGATAGGGATACAGCACAGGCAGCTATTTTACGTGCAAGTTCCATGTATTTTTCGCAGCCCCCCCCCCCCCATGCACATGTTAATGAGAAGCGAATGGGCAGATTGTGCAGCATCAATTCGGAATTTCTAGCACCCGATAAGTCCAGTGCCACGGCCTACTGGTGGGCGTTGTCATCAGTTTGTAGTCCTCGCCTCGTGACAGCGCCCGCTTCAGAATAGTTCAAACATCAACATTCAGTGTTAGAACGACAATCACATCAATCGAAGAAACAGTATCAAGGTGTCAGTTGCAAAGTAACAGAGTTTGGAGAGTCAATTTCGCAGAAATTGTTAAGGAAACTGTGGCGGTGGGTGTACGAACCTTCGCGCCTCAGCATAGAAAAGCACTAACGCTGGCAGGCTGGGAGGTGGATCGAGCACAACTATTCTACCCCACCGCTCCAGCTCGGCGGTGCCTACGATCATGCTATGGTGTACGACAACATCAGCCAGGCCTCAGTGCAGTCAACTGCGATGTACACCAGCGGTACTAGCTAGCCTTTTCCACGGCTCTCGTAGAGGCGCTGTGGGTGAGTCATGCGGAAGATAACAAGTTGCTGAAGTACGATGTGCAGGCGCAACCCACGGTAACAGTTGCCAGTCAGAGTATCTTCAGGTCACCAGCCCACAATGCACAAACGACAAGCAAAGCAAAGTCAGTGCCAGCAACATGAGTGCGTTGATGCCCCTGTAAAGGCTGGGGTGTGGAGTGCTGCTGCAGCACCTGCGGCGCCTCCTAATACCGGCAGTCCTCACGGCGCACCCATGGCGTACGACAGCATCCACCAGGCTCTAGGACCATCGAATGGGGACCGCGCATACACCCGTCCTGCCAGGCGCTGTGGCTCTTTGCTGGGGGCGACTTGTGGAGACTGGACTTGCTAGATCTGCAGGAGTCGCAGGTGCAGCCGGGGAGGGTGGGTGGGAAAATGAAAATACCAGCCAGGGCTAGACCGGGGTGCTTAGGTGATCGGAGATGTAGTTCGTCATCCATTGTTTTCAATACATGCTCGCTATCCGAAACATGTATTTTGTCACCTAAGAAATTCCACATGCCGAAACTATATTGCAGATCCACGTGGACAGAGCAGACCGCACTTCCAATGCTGTGCTGACTGCTAAACCTTGGCTGGATGGCATGACCGTGAAGGCGCCCTGTGATAATAATGTCTTGCATGACGGGCATCCAAGAGGAAAGTACAGATACTGACGCCGCTGATCAAGGTTGATGTGTTCAGACCTCTTGCGCTTGCCCTGAAAGGCAACGGACCCGTGGAACGTCGCGGACGGGTCTCGGCCTCAGGGGCACCATGCTGAGTGAGACCGGAAGGCATTGCAGGCGAGAGAATCAAACCAGGACATGTTGCCGTTTTGGTGAGCTTTCTGACACCATCAGACTCTTAAAACAAGGCGCAGCATCCGAAGAACAAAAACTGGCCTCCCTGGATAGACAACGTCGTGACAGAGCGGAGCAGGCGAAACTAGCACAGAAACAGACCTATATTTCTCAGGCAGAGCGGGACCAAGCCCTCTGAACGCCTAAATGCTGCCATGGTGTACGACAGCATCAACCAGGCCTCCGACATGCCAAGCTGAAAGTCCCAAGAGGGCCACGACTTCCTGCGACTGTTCTCGCCCTCTGCTCCAGGTTCTGTGGCTGCATGGAGGATATGGTTATTGGACTTTTTCTTCTCTGGACGACTTTTGGAAATTTGACATACAGGCGTGGACCTCCGCATTGACTGTCCCGCCCATCCTTGCCAGCAGTCCAGCCTTGCCTCATTCGACCCAGCTCCTGAAAGGTAGGAGAATGGGCGGAGCAGAGTCTGACACCAAAGCCCTCTGCACGCCGTTCTCATGCCATGGCGTACGACGGCCTCAACCAGGCCTCGGAGGCGGAGTTGTCAAGCTGAAAGCCGCAAGACTGTGACACCCAGGTGCTGTGGCTGTATGGAGGATATTCTCGCCGCGGTTATGGCACATTGGACGACCTGTGGAAATTCAAGATAGAGGTGTGGCTGGACGCTTCCTGTGCGCAACTGTCCCGGCCAGGGTTGTAGTTGGTCAATGCCCAGGGGGTCGCTTTGACGCAGGGCACCCCGACAGGTCAGCGAATGGGTTGAGCTTCAGAATCTGACCACCAAGCCCCCTGGACTTTATGGTCATGCCATGGCGTACGACAGCACCAGCCAGGCCTGGGAGCCGTCAGGTCGAGGTCATACACACGCGCAAAGCACGCAGCAGCGTCCAATCTATCTGCAGGTCTTGTGGCTTCATGGTGGAAGATCATCTTCCAGTAGCGGCAGTTTCAGTTCCGACTTGTGGGCATTCGAGGTGCAAGAGTGTGCGTGTCAATTTTACGTCAGGCTGTTATGCATTCTAGCTGCTAGCTGCTAGCTTGTATGACGCGTATATGACTTGTTGTACTTGGAAGTGGGGCCTCTCAGCGCGGATCACTGCCAGAATGGAACCTGGAGCCTGCAGAATCTCGTCACGAAGCCAGATGCCAGGGATATTCATGCCATGGCCTATGACAGCAACAGCCAGGCCTCGGAGTTGACTGGGCCAGGAATGAGGGGTCCAGACACGCAGAGATTCAGTGACCCCTTGCAGGCGCTGTGGTTACATGGAGGAAGCACCATAATCGACAAGAGCAGTCGTTCGCTCGGTGACTTCTGGAAGTTCGAGGTGCCTGTCGGGTCCTGCTGCAGTGAAGCGCAGTTGTCATCACTGATCTGTGTCCACGGACATCCAAGAACATGCCGGTAAATGCTCAATGCTCTTGTGCATCGGTTGTATACTTGCGAGGCTGTACATAAATCCTTTTATCAAATACACAATCTCTGCGCAATCTCAAGTGTGCAACTCGGATAAACCAGGCTTGCCATAAGAGGCCCCCTTCAGCAGATGTCAGCAAGGTCACCAAGTAGTGAGCCAGTAAGGTGGGTTGGGTGGGTATTGCAAACTAAGTGCCAAGACATGAAGGACTGGAATGGGCAGTATGCGAGTTCCGATTTGCGCAACATGTTGATTTGTTGTTCATCACCGACTCCTGCCTTTTCTGTGCCCTCGGCCTCCCTGCTTTCCAGAAAGAAGCGAGTTAGACCCAGAGTCCCTTGTGCAGGTCACGTGCCCTGTCGGATTCTTGACGGTGCCTAATGCCGAGTGTGATCCGTGCCCCGTGGGCACCTGGACGAACGTATCGGACAGATGCTTCTCAATCGCCTGGCAGTTGTACTTTGAAACGACTTGAGTGCACTACATCCTTCAGCCTTCTGTAGGCCAAGGAGCTTGAAAACTAAGGCTTTCCATGCAGCTCAGATTGGCCAGGCTCAACCACACAAAGTGAAGGGTCTTCAAACGTGGACATGTGTGTTCGCCCCCTCGGCGGGGAACAGTGGCAATGCACATCTGGCGTCGATTGCCATGTGGGTATCCAGGGATACAGTCTGCAGGGCCGGCATCGACTGGCTGTGGCAGTTCTCGGCAATTGTGGCACGGGTGCCTTCCTATCACGGGCAGGGATGTCACATGAAAGCCCTGATGGCAGCGACTATACTTGGACCAACTTTATGCCTGAGGGAGGCACCTACCAGGCGTGCGGGATGGGTATCCCTAGGACCATACAATGATTGCTTGCTTGTCGCGCAAACCGAGCCACTAACCCTTGCACTTAACACTTGTTTTATCCTGGCAGCACAAAGCGCCTCTTGGAGCAAGGTCTGCTGGTGTGCCAACATGCACGGCCATGACTGTGCGCATGCGGACGATTTCAGGATTGCTGCTGGCTGGATGGAGGCCTGGGTCGAAGAATGCTGTGCTTGCAAAACCCTGTTAGTCAAACGTGTAGCGATTCGGAGAGTCTTTGTTTCTCGGCTTCCGAGGTGAAGGGCCCGCTGACTGAGCAGACATTCTCATGTGTCCGAGGCGCCGACTGCCACAACCTCCAGCCCTTGAACGGAACAGGTTTGCTACATAGCCTGGTGGCGGTGCGGAGTGCGGGCTGCTGGTCCAGAAAGGGACAACAGATATCTCCAAGTAACAAGAAGGGTATCGCCAATGTGACACAAGCTGGCAGCAATGGCACCATTCTTTATTACGTTTTTACATTCGGCGTTTCCAGTGTACAGCACAGCATCGACAACGGATTGACCCTGACTGCGGACGACGCCGGGCACGACCTCTGTTGGTGCGGGATGGATTCCTGCAGTGATGAGGATTTCTTCGTTCCTCTTGGCAAGCTTCGTGTCGAGGGTCCACTATCGAACCAGGAGACGAGCTGCGCTGTGGGACAGCCGTGCAGCTTGAGTGCTGTACAAGCAGTGGGAATTAGTCCTGATGACAGGCTCGCGCTGGAGGGTCTTGCGCGCGAGAATTTAAGTATTCAGCGTTATCCTGAACACTGTACCTTTATCACTGAGTTTACTGTTGAGTTCTGCCCTGTGAGTTAAGCACGCTCCGCCCGTGCCCTCGAGCTACCAAGCCGCTTCTTCTTTGGTCCATCTTGGCTTTCTGTCCCTAACCCATCGCTTCAAGCATTTTAGGAGGTCCCTTGAAATGGGAGTCTGCAGGATGGGACTCGGAATTTCTCAAGATAAGTTGAATCATGCGAGCACACGCAAGCCTGAGAGACCCTCACATCAGCGCAGATGGCAGGATCATGGTCTTGAACTCCTGTGCAAACGGCGTCGCGGTGCAGGGCTTCCCTGGAGGTGGACTGGCTATGCCTGTCCACGCCCCAGACAAGCCCTAGGGGAATGGCAAGCCACTGTAGGGCCTGAAAGTGGTAGCAGCTCGGGTAGCGACGTTGTTCAAGCTTGCAGAGTCAGGGACGAGGGGCTCAGAGTCGCTTCTATGGCTCGGCACGGCAGAGCTACTTGCAACCCTGGCGCCTCGACAGCGCCCTGTTTTGATCCTCCGATAAGCTGCAGGTAGTTGGCACGATCCACCTGACAACGGAGGAGAGCCACAAGTGTGGAAACTTGCATGCCCCCCTCCCCCCCTTGGGTCATCCAAGCATCTAGCAGTCTCCTCTGGAGACTATGGCACTTATGGCCGCTTGGGTATGAAATGGATTAACAGGATCACTCTTCAGAAATTGCAGAATCAACCCCTTTGGAAACTTTGGAAGCCTGAGCATGCTGAAGTGGACTCAGTCCGAGATCTCGTCGTCGCTTTGCCGACATCATGGCTTCATCCTCCACCAGTCTCCACTGGTGCCCCATCCGGTAGTAGAGCTCGTACTCGCGGGCTCCCACTGTCCCTGCCTTGGTAAGGCTGTTAGCTAGCTGAGCTTCGCTATGGACCCATCTCATCTCGACCTGGGTGTTCTGCTGGGACTCCTTCACTGCAAGGAGTTCGATACTTGTGCGCTTCTCGGCCCCCTTGATCACCAAGACCTCGGTCTCCAGCTTGTCATAGACATTGCGGCTGTCGGTCACGACGCAACCTCGTGTGAGCTTCACGAGGTCATCAGGATGGTGAAGGTCTGGTTTCCCGTACAGGAGTTCACTCCACTGGAACCTTGCTGCATACAGGGCGTCCTCTCCATTCACAGCGGCTTGGGATTCGCTTGCCCCCGGGGATCGACAGGCTCGATCGATCTTCTGTGAGGTCCAAGCTAGTGGACTCACACCAGTGATCTTTCCCTCCAGGAGGTCTGTCGTTGTGACTCCCAAGAAGATTCCTTGGGTGGAGCCACCATCAGCTCTGTTGCCTTGGGCCGCATCAACCCATGCTACCATGGTGAGGGTGTCACTCTCCTTGAAGCTGTGGATCTTCATGATGTGGTCCTTCTTGTTCTTTGCCGTGGCTAAGAGCATGTTGGCCTTCACGATGGTCTCCACTGTTGAGCGGGATACCTCGGTTAACAAAAGGCTTGTCTCTGCCGCGAGATAAGGAGCAACTTGTTGAGCGTGCCAGCTGATCCCTCCTAACAGAGCACGAAGTTGGGTCTTTTCCTTGTCGGAAGTGGGTTGGGAACGGTCCTTTCGACGTGTGGCGTTGAGGCCGATTTCTTGGAGGTTGTCTAGATAGGTAGGCTGGGAAAGCTCAAAACCCTCTGGCTTTTGTTCAATGATGACCCCGCACTGGGTGAATCGATCACTCTCCCAGTCTCCCCACTTGAAGCGCTCCCGGATGGCCTGGAGCCTTGACTCCCATAGGGAGCTCCCTTCAGGTCCACAAAACAAGAAATCATCAACGTGGCCACTCACCGCTCCGACAATTTCTCCCTTCTCCCGTAAAACCCAACAACAAGCATCAGCCCAAGTGCGCTCGAACCCTAAGGTCCTCAAGAACTCATCCACAGAACGGTACCACTCTAGAGGAGCGTCAACCAGGCCGTAGCATGCCTTTTTCACGCGGGTGATGCTGCCGGGTGCTATGCCTAATGACTCGCAAATCTCTGGACAGGGAATGCAAAACAAGTCATCTGGATACTGCCGGCTTTGGAGGAAAGCCCCGGTCACGTCTCCTTTTCTGACCTTCCATCTCTTCCAGGCTGATAGCTGCAACAGTGCTTGTCGCGTGGTTCTGGTCATTACTGGGGAAGTAGTGGCTCGGTGTTCATAGCCTTCATCTTGATAGCCTAATAATACTGCCCTCGCCTTGGGTTTGCGAGAGCCATCTTCTCGCAATTTCCAAGTCAGGATCCACCGCATGCCTATAGCCTGGGACTTGTCCGGCTTGAGGTGGTCTGGCAGGATCTCGAAGGACTTGGAAGCCACGAAGTTCTTAACCTCCACAGCCTTTGCGCCTTGGAAGGCTACCCTCTCCTCAGCCGTGAGGCGTCGCTCGGAAAGCTCCACAGCGCGTCGTCGCATGTTCCCCACAAAGTAGGTCCCCAAGTCTTGGAGAGCTCTCTCGCGACCTCGCTTGCTTTCGGGGAAAGTGAACTCCACCTCAACGGCAGCTGAATGGTCGCTCCAGTAACTGGCCTGGTGCTCTGGCCACTTCGCCTCTGGCACACTGGTCCACCAGGCTGTGGGCTGCTCCACAGGGTGTGCTGGTCCTGCTCGCACTCTGGCTCTGGAGCGAGAACGCTCTCGGACAGGCTGGGCCTCGCCATGCGCCTCCTCGTTTTCCTCAATGTCGCGCTCCATCTCGGCATCCTCAGTGGACGGTGTTGGCGCGTGGCGCTTCCCTCGAATCCGGTGGCGCCTTGGTGGAGCCTCAGACTCAACCTGTTGTGCTCGATTCCACTCCTCGACGGCGGGGGTGTCCTGGGAGATGTCCTCATAGCGGTTCCCACCAATCTCGTTCGCCACGGCTTTGAACGTCCACGGTGTCTGGCCTTCTGTGGGTGTCGCCAAGGCCTCCACGAGGTGTTCTCGCTCTGTGGCTCGACGGAGCTGCTCCGGCGAGCACTTTAGCAAGCTTCGACCCTTCACCAGCCAAATTGCTCCACCTGGACGAAGTTGCCCGTCTGAGGATTGGCGACTCTCGGTGGCCAATATCCTTGCGGGTCCCAAGAATCTTCCATGCTTGCCTCCAGGTTGTCGACGCCCTTTGTTTGAGTCTTGGGAGCGCCAGTAGTACACCAGTTCTCCTGGCTCGTAGTCGAAACAGGGGCGGTGCTTGGAGTGCTGGGCCCGCATGAGCCGTTGTTTGGCAGTCCACTCTGCCAAGGCTTTCTCAGCCTCGGTGCGGCGTTGTACTGATCGCTCAAACTCCTCAGTGGGATTCTCTACCAAGAGATTTGGATGAACCTCGCTTCCAACTGAAATGAAACGCCCGGTCTCATCCGGCGCTTGTCCTAGGATATGCTGGGCCGGGGAAAAACCTCGGATGAGCTCCCGATGATTGAAGGCCCAGATAGCCTCCGCGAGAGCCTCTGGCGCAGTAATTGTCTCATCACAATCGCTCAGCTTTGTCATTAGCTCTTTGACCCCTCGCACAGCATTCTCGACGGTTCCAATCTTCCAGTGGGCCTCCCCTGGAACGATATCCAGATACACTGAGTGTTTGTCGCACCATGCTTCAACAGCAGCACTTCTGAAAGCTCCCGCCGGATCTAACCTCAAAGACCTCGGGTATCCGAAATACTGAACCCAACCCTCCTGAAGGTAGCCCAAACAAGCCTGGGCATTCGGAGACTGCTTCGAGCCAGTGCTGAGGATGCGGCCCGCTCTGAAGCGGGATCCCTCATCAACGATGAGCATAAACTGGTGACTCTCCTCGGTATGAGGGTGAACCCAATGCCCAATATCAGCTCCTATGGTGTAAAGTTTGAGGCACTGGTTCCAACGACGCGAGGTTGCGGGGAGGAGGTCGTTGCTTTTCCTTGCACACATCACACTTGAACTCTTCGGCCAACTGCACAACCCGTTCATCAGCCCCTCTTCGCTTGAGGGCCTGCACCATGTACTTAGGATTGCTATGACCAGTGGCACAGTGCAGCAGGTAGAGCTTCTTCCTAATTCTCTCATCCTCTCTCCGTCTCTCCCTGTCGGGGTTCTGAACCTCGGCGGGGAAGGCCTCAAGTTTGGGTCTAGGAGGCAGGGGAAACCCAAGTTTTTGAAGCTCTTCCTGTTCCGATGGCCTCAATTGCTTCCAACCTCGACTCACAAAAACGGTGATCACCCAACGCTCCCCTTTCCATGGACACGTCCCATGCCACTGCTTTGGCGAAAACAGCACAACCTTTTCCCGAATGTCATACTCCTGACCAGCAATCTCCTTCCCCTGGGGACCCTGTTGAACCGAATCCTTCCCAATCCTGCCACACAAGGACCCTTGACCCTCAACCCAAAAGTTCCCCTCCCTGGTAACTTCCGAAACCTAAACTTCCGTTGGGATACATATCAAGGTTGTTGAGGTCGCGGTGTGTCGGCATGGCAGTTCCACTGTTGATCGCAAAGGAGGTCCATCTCATGTCTTTGGGGAGATGTTGTTTCAAGATCTGGTTCACAAGTTTGCAGAGTTTGGGCAACCGGTAGGTCCTAGAGGTGTTTCCATAGTGATTGCCGAATGCATACGTCCCAAACACCTGGTAGTCGTTGGCTTGGTTGAGGTTCCTACGGGAGTGACCTAGGTTCTTCAACGGGTGCTCTTTGAGGAGTTGTTCAAGGTCCTTAAGGGAGGGCTTTTCGGCTTTCCTGGAGACTTGTTGGGCTTCCTGTTCAATGCACTGGGTGTTCGAACTACTGAGGCAGGCGGCTTCCTGGGCTGAGGAGGCTTGGGGTTCTACTGCATTGTCCTGGAGCATGCAGCATCCACACAACGGCTTGGTCTGTCCGCTACTGCACTCACAGCTCAACCCCAAACCGAAACCCTCAGGCAACCTGGAATTCCCAAGACACTCATCCACAACCTCAGCGAAATTCCCTTCCCTGTTCAAAGCCTCGACAACCAGTCTCCGAAATTCAGGGGTATACCGGGACGACATTCGGGCATTGTTACCGGTGCACCTACCATGGTCATAAGAGGTGTGACAAGAACACGGTTTGTGCATCATCTCGGACAACCTCTTATGGGTGGTAACAAGTCGCCATCCCTTCTGAAGCAACTTCCCGCTACTTCCCTTTAACCCCACAGCGCATCCCTTGGTAACACAGGTGTACATGTTACTGTGGAGCCGGAGCCTTTGCATCACCGGGAGTCTCCAGGCCTCGTTCTTCTCTCCTAACTCCAAAGTCACATGAATCCCAGCTTGCATGCAGGCTTTTGCGAGTTCTTCAGTCCCCTCGTACACCTGTAATGCAAGGGCTCGTTTGGCCTTTAAGTCTCGGACCTGGGAAGGAGTCTTCTGGTTGAGGTTTTGCAGGCTACTGAAGGCTTCACCGGGGAGGGCTATCCACACATGTTTAGGGTGAAAACACCGTATCTGCTCCAACGTCAGGGCGAGACCTTCAGGCGTGGACAAGTCTTGTCCACTCCACAGCGCGCTTCTACAGGCACTGTCACTTCTTCCCGTCCTTGCTCTGAACTCTTCAGTCAGAAGGCTTTCCAACTCACAAGACACTTCAAACAAATCGACCCTTGACTGTCCTAACATCTCCTGGAACATGTGTGGTATGACCAACTTTGACTTGTGTTCAAGAGCCCGACTAGCCACCATGCTCAACTCCGGTCCTGGGGCTCCTCCATGGTCTCGTCGGTCTTGGCTGCGATCTTGCGTGGCTTCTCCCCGCGGTCGCTCTTGAGCGTCTGCACCTCCTCGGTCAGACTCGCCACCGCTTTCATCAGCTGCTCGATCATTTTCTCGGACGGGCCGGAGCTCGCACTCGCTGCTTCCTTGAGCTCTGGACTGGAGGTTCCCGACGAGGTCGCGGTCTTTCGGCTGCTGCCCTTGGCCTTGTCCTTCTCCTTCTTCTCCACGAACTTGTTCATGTCGACCTTGGGAGCATGGGCAGTGGCCTTGGTCGCCGGATTGTTCATGAGCCACGTGGCAAAACGCTTCAGGTACATGGAGCATTCGCCTTCCTGCGCCGTAGTCACCGCCCACCGACAGTACTGGTCGTCGTACTGGCGGACATGGCTGTAGGTCTGGCTGGCACACTTCCCGAACCCGAGCTTGTCCTCGTCGGAGCCTTCCGTTGCGGTGAGGAGGTGCTGCATGGCCCGCTGCTGGAGTGTGGCCATCGTCTCGTTCCCATTCACCTTGACTCCCATGCTGGAGACGTGGGATTGGAGCACCGACTTCTTGGAGCTCGCTCGGTTCAGAGCTTGCACTGCCTCCTCCAGAGGCGTCTTCGTCTTTCCCTTGGTAGGTGGCTTGATCTCCCCTTGGTCCGCCAGCTCCTGCAAGCGGGCACACAATTCCACCTTCGTCCACCCCTCGGGCGGTGTCTCGCCGTAGCCCTTGAGGCTGAGCACAAGGGCCGAGCGCGAAAGCTTGTCCATCTTCAACAGCAGCGGCACAAAGGCAGGGAACCCTACAATCTGAGCCAGGATCGCTGCCACAAAGTGTATCGTGTCGTCGCTCAACTGCTGCATGTTCGGCTTTGGCATGTGGCTCAAGACAAGCTGACGCAGGCACTGGCACTTCCAAAGTTTCACTAAACCCCCTAGTAGCCTCTATAGAAACCCTTTCCCCAGAGTGATCCACAGAGCTACTCTTGCTGTCTACCCCGTTCCCTGATAAAACACTCTCGTCCTTCCTATTTCTGTCAGGGGCAAAAACAGGAAGGTGCTGTCCCTAGTGATCGCCTGCAAAAGACAGAAGGCTGGGGATGGCTTGCTTAGCAGCCGAGGAATTGCGCATCCAGTCTTCTGTAAGGGACAAAAGTTGGTGCCCCGAGCTCCCCCGTGTCAAATGTACAAGTCTATGGGGATCGAGGGCACGGAAAACAGCAACATCGGCCTCGAAGTCAATGATCGTCCCGAGAGACCTCAAGGTCTGGATGCTAAGGAGGATCGGGGCTTCCCCGCTCTCCAAGGTGTGGATGCGAAGAGCTCCGGGTTGGCCGTTCGCCTGGACGCGGACCTGGGCAGTGCTCAGACAGCGGTTCTCCGTGGAGTTCCCGAAGGCAAAGGTAGGGGGCTCCTCGGCATTGATGCTAGCCAATCCACTGGAACCATACTTTTGCCTATTTTGGTTCAACGCTGCTTCCACGGCTCTGACACTTCCAATAGTCTGTGTGGCTCCCCCATCGATCACAGCCATCCCTCTCGCCACGGCCTCACTGGTGCTCAAGGGTTCTCCTTCGGTTGTAGGAGGGCCGGTGTGGTAGACCTCCTGGGTCGCATAGCCCACGAAGTTCTCGGTGCTGTAGAGGTCGCTGGGGTGGTGGCTGTCGATGGAGGCCTCGTCCAGGTAGCATACGAAAGGAGCTTGCTGTGGCTCGCTGCTCGAGCCCGCTTGGGCCATGTGCGCCTGGTTCGCCGGCGCGTCTCCTATTGGCTTGTGGGGGCAATTGGCGGCCCGGTGGCCCCTTTTTCCGCATCTCAAGCAGTCGAGGTTGCTATCGTCCTTGGGCTTGGCGCCGGCACTCCCCGTGGCCCGCGCCCCAGCATTCTGGTAGTACTTGCGGTTCTGCTTGACCATATGCTGGCGTTGCCTGGCATCCTTGAGTGTCCGCCTGGCGGTTTGGATGGCTGCCATGGCCGCCTGGGCTTCATCCTCAGCTGTGTTCATCATTGCATAGCCTTCTTCGCTAAGGATTGCTTCGAGGTCTCCCGAGGTGGGCTCCTCCGGCTCTTCATCATCCTCGTCGTCATAGTCGCGGATCTCGCCGAGGTAGCTCTGGAACTTGCGGGTGTGGTCGCGGCGTCGCACTTCAGCCTCAGGGAACTGATTTCTCAATTCCTGAGCCACCTTGGCTGGGCTGAAGTTTCCCCCCAAAGCTGTAACCACCAGGTTCCGCTCGTGGGAGTCCAACGAAGCGTCTGTAAGGAGGTACCAACCTTGGATAAACACTGGGAGTAGTTCTTGTTCCCGGGGCTCGTCATCGTACGAAGTGATAGAAAAACTCCCATAGCTTTGGTTGCCCCAGCCCCCGTAGTTCCCCGACCAGCTGCGGTTCCACGACCAGGAGTTCCACCCCCCCCATGAAGGTGCCCACCAGTCGTGGGTGGCTCGCGGCTCGCTGGAGGCGGCTGTGGTCGTCGTCGCGGCATCGCCATGAGGGCCGCCATCATCACCATCCAGAGAAGGACCATCACCTCGGCCTCCTCCATCTGCCTCGCTCATAGGTGTCCACTGCCGACCCCACGCCCATGAAGTCATCTCCCCGCTGTTTCTCCGCCCGGAGGTCCTGTCGTTCTTCGCGGAGGGCTCGTAGTAAGGTTGTACTCGCTTTAGTGCTTGACAGGCTCTCATATAGGCTTCGGTCTTGCGGGTGATGTAGTCATTCATGGACTCCTGGGAACGGCGTTTCGTTCCCTTGAAGTAGGCTGCGAGCAGGTCGGTCACCTCGTTCACACGTGGCTTTCCAAGTCCTCGGCGAAGGTGGTCCATGAGAACTTGGACACCGCCACGGTAGGCCACCCATCCTGGTGGCTGGCCTGCCACCAACCGGCGTGCTGCGCCGGAAAGTTCTTGGACCAGCTTAGGTCCTGCCGTGTAGCGCTTCTCCCACGTCAAGGATTGTTCCCAGAGAAGCGCGGCTTCCTCGTACTGGACAAAAAGACTGGCCTCCCCACTCCAAGTGGGAACGCCATCTTTGGTCCGACCCACTGCTGCTGGAACGTTGCTTTCCGCTGCTCCACTCATCTATCTCCAGTATATCCCCACTGGAGCCTCAGGCCCTGGAACGTTTCTGAACCTGCTCCTTGAGCAGGCTCCGCTACCATGAAAGTGGTAGCAGCTCGGGTAGCGACGTTGTTCAAGCTTGCAGAGTCAGGGACGAGGGGCTCAGAGTCGCTTCTATGGCTCGGCACGGCAGAGCTACTTGCAACCCTGGCGCCTCGACAGCGCCCTGTTTTGATCCTCCGATAAGCTGCAGGTAGTTGGCACGATCCACCTGACAACGGAGGAGAGCCACAAGTGTGGAAACTTGCAGGGCCTATAGGGGTTTACCTGGACATGTGTTGAAAGGAAAGGGGATGGGCGTGCGAAGGGGGTGGAGAGCCGTTGGCGGGGAGGCTGGGTTGGCTGGGCTTGAGGAGCGTCCGGCGTCCAGGAATGGCCTCGGGTTCCGAGGTGCTCGCTGGTCCAAATCTCCCGTGAAAATGCTTGGGCGTTGCGTCGTGAAGGGTCATTGAAGAACTGAAAAATGGGCTGGCACGATGGATAACATCGCTGAGGCAGTTGTTCACAGTTTAAAGCCCTTTCTTCCCAATCTCCGAAAGTTTGTGGGTGCTCAAGGTCGATGGTGCTTTTCAGTTCATGGCAAGTGATTCCGAAGTACTGCACTCGCGAGCTGGGATATATCGGCTGTGCTTTTGCAGACAGACTGATGGTTCACCTTGCAATGCAACGGAGCATTTCTCGGCAGCAGTTGGCCTCCTGTCAGCGCGCGGACCCTTCCACACAGATGCCGTGTGTGAGTTGGGCACTGCGTGTATGGTTGAACTGTCTGGGCTAGGTCTGCAGGCTGATGATCGCGTCGTGCTAACACGCGATAATTGTGACGACGTAGGCAGCCAGTACGACGGCCTGGAAGTGCTACAACCCATCCCTGTTGTGCAAAACGGCAGTGCCTTCCACGCTGACCTCGGCAAGATTCCCTTGGAGGCCACACCAGGGGATTTGCGATTGTGCTGGTGTGGCGCTGGTTATTCGTGCGATAGCGTGACCGCTTTCCGCGCAGAGGCTGCGAATCTTGCGATTACTTGCCCCAAAGGATACTTCCACTCTGCTGGCAGATGCACCGAATGCGGCCGGGGCTTCTACTGTTCGGGTGGCAGCATCGAGCTGGCTATCCGAAAGCCGTGTCCAGCCAACTCTGACAGTGATCTTCGGGCAACTTCAGAAACTGACTGCAAATGCATGCGGGATTTCAATGCTATAGTGGATGGCAAGTCAGGTTCCCTTGATCGCTGTGCGGACTGCAGGTTCTATGAGGGGTTGATATGTCCGGGAGGTTTTGATGAAGGGGAGCGGCGAGATCATGCCCAGCCTCGAGCAGAGCCTGGCTTCTTCCAGACAGGCAACTCCTCGGCTGTGCGATGTATGATCGAATTTCAGGCGAAAGAGAGTGTCTGCCTGGGATCGAACGAGTGCGTTGAAGGTTCTTCGGGCAGACTGTGTGGAGAATGTGCAGAGGGGTGGGCAAGGGGGAATTACTTGGAGCCTTGCGAATCCTGCCATGCTGGAAATGTCAAAGGCTCAGTCTGGCTGGCACTAGTCATTCTCACAGATGTGGCCAGGATTGCTGTCCTAAACTTTGGAGTGGCTGCGCTCTCTGCACAGTCAGCCGGCACTGTGAGTTTGAAGCTGCATTCGCCGATGATCCGCATACTGTTGCGATGGAGGGATGCATGCTCGGTGCTGACAGGGATTAATTTGGACGGCCTGCCGGCATTCCCTTGGTCTCGTGCAACGGCACATGCGGCCGGAGGTTGCTCCGGTGCCGAGTGCATCTTGGCTTGGTGGGCCCGTGTGTTTTTTGGCTTGTCTGTAAGCCGCGCAAGGCGCAAGGGACCTAGGTTCAAGTGATATTCCTTACTTATGGCGTGGCCGTCTTTGTGCAGCGGTTTCTGTTCAGAGGCTACTTAGCTGCCAAGCTGTTTCGCCATACTGTCTGCTTGCCTGTCCCCCTTTTCTATACGATTGGCGTTTGCTTAATGACCACACTCCCTGCTCTCTGATGCCCAAACAAGCAGCCTTAGCAATGTATACGAGTAATAGTAATAATAGTAGTAGTTATAATTTCTGAGTTGAATTCTTATATTTCCTGATATTCGATAAGTGAAGTTTTTATGAACGTAACTTAGTAATATTCACAAACTTAGCATTACCAGTATTGCCATTAGTTATGTTCGTATCATTCGTGTGCGTACAGATCTGGGACCCGGATCAGGGACCCAGATCCATACTAACACGATTAATATTACCTTATATACTATTAATGACCCGTATGTGGGTCCCGGCTCTGGGTCATTGAAAGTATTAGTACTAATTTTTGTGTAAGTACGGATCCGTGTGCCCGGATCTGTACTAACACCAGTGGAACTACAAATATGATATGAATGCTACTAGTCTTATAGTAATATCAGTCATGTAGTAATATGAAAACCAATACTGATAGCTCAAAAACCACATTCCGCGCCACACCCCTAAGTCTAACTCACGTTGGCTTGCTCCACTCCCTCCTCCCTCCAGCCACCCTGGCTCCCTCCATCCCTCCCTCCATCCCTCTAAGGCTCTAAGGTTTAGGGCTCACTTAGCACACTCTCGCCCATATTGCTGCCTGTCAACCGGGCCCCCCCCCCAACAAGAAAACAAGCCAAAACGCATTTTGCGTAGGCCACAGTTCGTCGTCTGCTTGTTTTGTTCTTCCGATTCTTATTATTACTCACCTTCTCTACTATAGGCCTTGATCTTTGACATGTCGCAGAACAAGCATTTAGAAATAGTTGTAAGCAGTTTTGCACTCAATAAGCAAGATAATCCAAGTAGCCTGGAACGGTGTTGTTCTCCTCTCTGAGGGGAACTGAAAAAAGAGCCAAGGTGCCCGGCTGAGGTTTGACCGGCCTCCGGATGTTACCCATGCCATCGACATGCTCTTCTCTGCGATGAGAATTTTGCCAAGTGTGAACGTGGAGTTCGCGGCGTCTTGTCAGGCCCAGGCCTGGTTTCCAGGCAACACCGTAGCCCACAGGCTGGGCCCCGCCCTTTACTATCTATTTCTGCCGGTGATGACTCTCGGGGGCACGATCTGTGTTTGTGCCATCGTTGTCTATGTGCTTATACCGATGGGCAACAAACACGGGCTGGTCTTCAACAAAGCTGACCATGAGAAGCAGAAGCACCTACAACTGGCCAGACACATGGTGACCAACGTGCAGGAAGCTCATGAAGATGGTGACCTGAAGTTTATGTGGCGCGTGCAGGAGATGTCAGATGGCTGCTCGGATGCCTGTGGTTCGTCCCTGCAATTGCCGTAGATAAACAGGCTGCTGCATCAGTCGTTTTTCAGCCCTGCTTCCCCCCTCCCAAAAAAAAATGGAGCCTAACACGTCTGTGGACATGAGAAGCTACATGATCCAGATCAAGAAGCGACCGTCAGGACTTCTACTTGCAGCGGACTGGGGAGCTTCCGTGGAGGTGATGACCGCTGGCATCCCGCTGTTTGAGCTGGAAAGTGTCGCTTGTTTTCCCTACTGTTGCCCAGACCCAAACCCGGAAATTGATCCCTTAACCTTGGCATTCTCGAGGAAAGTCTATGCCAGGTCCTAGGTCTTGTCTGGTTCCGAGCGTCCTTCCCCTCGAATTGTGGAGTCATGGAGGAGCCATTGCGCACTGAGGCTGCGAAAGGCACGCTCTTCGAGCAAACCCTTCGGCGGATGGTCCTCGGTGCCGTTGCTTGGAAACTTCGAGGCGGGGAGTAGAGAGGACAGAAAGATTGTGAAGTGTGCCAGCTGGAAGAGTTAGACAAGGATACCGTGCTCTGAGCTTGCGGACTTCGGAGATCCGGATGGAATGTAGAACAACTTTCTGGTAGTCCAATGTGGAAAGCAGTCTGGGCCTTGAACAGGCCATGTCGACGTGCAGGCTGCAGTCGCCGAAGTCGAAGGCCTGGAACTAACAGATATTGATATAGAGGTGGCAACAGCCCTGGCTCTCTCCGCGGAGAGCAGCCAGCAGCTCAAGACCGCGATCCAAGAGGGAGCTAACGACAGGGCCTTCGTGCGTCGAGCCGTCCAAGAGCACAAAGAGCGCAAAAGCCGTCAAGACACTGTGGCTTCAGATGCGTCCAAGCTCGACTTCGGGCTTTTCTCCCGTTTCCCCAGTCTTGAGCAGCTCCTGCTCCAGACCAGGCCGGTTGTTTGGCTCACGCAACTGGCCCTGTGGCCTGAACTCGTATCCAAGTTCCTGCAGTTGATTCGATGCTCTCCTATGCCTCTTGGTCCAGCTTAAGAGAGATCTAGGTGCATTCTTCAGGACTTGAGTATTCTTCATTCTAGAACTGAAGCGGTGAACAACCAATCCAGGCCGGAAGATAAAGACGATGGCACAGCGGGTTACGTCCAGCGTTTGCTTCCCCACCCGGACATTGAATGTTGGACAGAAGACCACGCGGCATTGATTGGAGTTGCTGTAGTAGGGCTGTCGCTATGGTGCTTGGGCATCCCCTTGCTTTTATTCATGCGGATTTGGATGCTTACAGATCGGCAGGATCCAGACCAATACAGGCTATATGGCTTCTTCATCCAAGGTTTAGCCCCGCGCTATTGGTACTGGGATCTCATTGTCAAGCGAGCAGACATTGCCCTGATGCTTTTGGTGGCCTACACATCTATCGCTAACGACGACAATGCCAAGCTATTATTATTCCCTCTTATCTCAGGCATGCAGCTAGGCATTTCTGCTTGGATATCGCCTTATGCAAACAGCCAATCTCAAATACTGGATGTGCTTGAGTTTGTGCTGCTGATCAGCCGATTCGTGCTCTTCAGCGTGGTTGCCATTTTGCTTATTTTCTTCCCTTCTGTGGAGATTATATGGGCCTGGGCCATGTTGCTATTGGTGGGGAACCTCTGCTGTTGAGCATGGAACCGTTATGTCCCCTATGGATGCATAGCAGGTACACTATCGCATCTAGCCCCTTCCAAGATTGCCACTTGAGAGAATAAAGGGAGTAAGCTGAGTGACCCTAGGGCTTTTTAGCACGCCTTACCTAGAGTTGTAGGCATTGCCTTGGAATGAGTTTGATGAACCTCCAAGCAAGGATCTTTTGTACTATCGCATATGCGTCAGTGCACATTCTTGCCCAATTCTTGCGGAGTGCTGCCGGTGCAGCAAATGAGATGGAGGACAGGATTGGGGAGGACACTGGTCCTGAGCACAGGCCACACATGCAGATTGCCGTCTCCAAGAGTACGGCGCAAGCCAAGTTGGCAGGCTCCTCTTTTGCGCACAAGGGCTTTCGAGGTTAAATTGGCTCAAGAGTAGCTTGTACATGGTACTCGTGCATTCGACATACAACCTGTCCCTAAATGTCCCTTAGCTATCGAAGTAGGCTTCAGGAATGCTGCCACAAATTCGGTTTGGGGATGAGTCATGGCCGAAGTCTTCTGCTGGTAGGACTGAGCTTCGCTAAACCTTTCAGCTGTGAGAGTTCATTTAATGCAGGGACCTTCCTAGTCGAGCACTACACTCCCTAAGCTCTAGACCCTAACCAGGTACCCTGCAATCGCTCTGGAAGACCGCAGTGAGGCTCTTGCTCCCTTTCGTTGAGCCACCACAGCGGCTTGTTTATCGGTGGTCCCTGGATGCAGAGTCTCCAGTGGAGAATATCCGGACAAGCCAGATCCAACCTTCCGGTATCCAAGGCGCATGTCCGACTGTTAGCTGCCAGTCAGGGGCCAACACAAAAACACCCACATTTCAGATTGGGACTCAGATCAGAAGGGAGGCATTGCACATGGGAGTCACATGGGGCGCTGATTGTTGGCATGGTGTCGGCTTAGTGCTCATGGGGCTGTTTCTCATTGAAGTACATGAGGGTGTCTGCGACATGGCTGTTGAAGGCCTCTCATATGTACTGTAGGCAATGCCTTTGGTTTCGGTGTTGGCGAGGATGGATCATGGTGCAGATCCTGAAGGTGTCCAATGCCGTTCTACGCTTCGACCTGGATATTCAGCGTGAAGATGTAAACAGTGCATACAAGGAGCGTTTCGAGCTGAGGTCCAAATACACTGTTCATGCCACACTGCCGTATGAGTTGTATCATAAACCCGCATGTACTTTCTGACCAGCCGCTGTTAGCACGCCCCGAAGTCCCGGACGTGCATTTCGTTGGGAAGAAGCGGATCAGAGTTAAATCGAATGATAACTTCAGAAGCCCTTGTGAAACAATCAGAAGTAAGAAGAAGCCATTTCGGCACTTTTGAAGTTTAGCTTGATTCAGCTTGATCTTCATACAGCCCCATATAATCCTAGAAGCCTGCTGCAAAGTCTGCCTACCAGGAGTTCCTGACAATGTGGTGGTGCAAGTGTAGTGGCAAGAAGATCCCTAGCTTCAATGTGCTCTGTCTGCTTGCGATCACGCAGCGGGCTCTGCCCAACGAGATTGCAAGTTCCAAACTTTACGAATGCTGGGAGAAGGAGCTCGAGGATGCCACCGCAACAAAGGACAGCGTGCGGAATGTGTACGCAGACGACTTCACGAATGCCGTGAACCTCTTCGGTGCTCTTCCCATTATTGAAGCTCGCAGACTTCTGGATCTCGCAGCCAGTGTCCTCCGCCGTCCGCACCAGAATCCAGCCGTGCACTCAGACCGGTTGTCCAGTAGCCCACGGTCTTTGGCGTCCTTATCAAAAAAGGATCCTGTTGAGGTTTGCACAGCATTCACGGCACAGAAAAGTTTGCCGTTGAGCAGTGACTTCAGGAAGAAGATCTCAGCCTGAGCGATGAGAACGGCAACGAGACAGAAT